GTTAGGGTCAAGGTTGGGCTTCTTTAGAATTGGGGTTATAGTTGCATGTTTGAAGGGTAATTGAAATATGCCAGAGGAGAGAGAGAGATTGAGAATTTTAGTGAGAGGTAGAGAAACAGAAGAAGACAGAGTACTGATGTGATGCGAGGTAATTGGATCTAGGGAGCAGGTGGTGGGGCGGGAGGACTGGAGCAGAGCAGAAATGTGATAGTTTTTTAATACACTTGGAAAACCGAGAGAATTCTCCTTTCTTTGTGTTTCTCTCTCTTTCTTTCTCAAAATGTATTTCTAATTACCGTGATTTTCTTTTCCTGGTCATAGACCATGCAGCACAACAATGGGTAGCTCCTCCCTATCCCTAATTAGACAGGAACCTAATTAAAACAGAAAGTATAAGTAACCCCTCCTACCCCTCCCACCCTCAGTCTTGTTTTCAGCAATATCCCAGGGTGGGATCTTTGAGCTGTCATGGCCTATGACCAGGCAAAGAAAATCACGGTAAGTAGGAATACATTTTCCTTTTTCCTGACCATATCCATGACAGCACAGCAATGGGTAATACCCAAGCAATAGCCAAGGGAGGGAAAGAAATACACAAGATTTCCAAAATATGAAGGCAAATTGACAACAAACACACCCTATAAGGACGTTGGAAATTCAGGTTCCAGGATCTTCTACATCTTCAGTGATTTCAGTTTTGATCCAAATTGCTCCTTGAATTCTTTTCCTTTATCATCATCAGGTATGTTTTGTCTTCTTAAAGGTATATTTCTTTTTATTTAATTTTATCCTGCTTTAGGATATTAATTTCAATTTCTATTCCTTAGCTATTCTCATTTGCTTATATGGAGAAAGAAAGAAGATCATTCTCTTCTGATTCAGAATCATCTGGTAATAAAAATAGGTCACAGTCTAAGTTATAGCTCAGCCATTTAATCATTTTATTTTTGTTACTATTCAATATAAATGGTACTTTATGTTAACAATTAATACAAACAAAAGAGAGCTAATGTCATATATCCCCTATCATGATTTTTCTATGGAAAAAAACGCATTAAGGTCATCCAAAAGAAAATTGCCTAAAAATAATTGATGTGGATATAGAGTCATACCGAGAACGGTTCTCTTCTTTAGAGGAAAAACCTCAAGCTACCCCAGATTTTCTGGAACCAGCTCAAGTAGATTACCTTATATCCTGAGTCCACAAGTTATTGCGTTTAAAAGAAACTTCAAGAGGAGAACTGTCAACTTCCAACCGTTACTTCTCAGACTTGAGGAGAAAAAGAACATTTTTTTCCTGTACATGATACTTTAAAAGAATTGATTGACAGACTGTGACGAATGCCCCCATGCTTGGACGTTCGACACAGGCTCCTGGAGTGGTGTTTAGGATAGCCTCCTGCCCACTGACTATGGGCCATAGAAAAGGCTGGTAAAAAGACTTGGTTCGTGGGATTTATTTGTACTGTTCGGGAACCGAACTGAATCACGAACTACGGACCACATTTGGGCTTGTTAACCCCCATTTTGCCTTCCTCAGTTTGGGGATCCATTTAAACCTCGTTTTTATGTTACCAAAGTTGACCGACCGCTAGCCTGTTTTGGGCATAGGAACATGTTCGCAGTGGATCAAATAATTGACTTCCATGGAAATCTTGAACCCCCGAACCGATCTGGATGATTTTTGGATATGTTAGTCACCAAGATCGGGGCTATCAGTGGGTTTTCATGTGTTTTGAAGGTACTTTTATGGGGGGGGTTGGAAATTATATGCTTTTCTGTGCCTAGAGATAATTCAGTTTGTACAGTTCCTGACTCAATCATCTCCCAGGCACAGGGGAGGGATTACCCTGTTTTGTGTGTTTGTGTGGGAGTGTCATGGGCGTGTTTTTTGTGTCATTTTACTGCATAAAAGCAGGCCATTGAGTCTGGATTAATTAGATCATTTTACCACTTCATGAAGTCTAGGCTCATATTTGGGAGATTGGGAGCTATATTCACACTTATAATCGCTACGGCTCCTGGGACTTGGGAAATTCTTTACGGATGTACTCAGCTGGGGTACTGGCATCCATTACATTGGTGGCAAGCGGCACTTTTAAAAAGGTATGCCATGATGGGGGTAGTTCTTATTCCTGAGTTGCCATTCGGTCTCAAAGGCAGCATAACCAATCTGGCAAATTTAAATGTGCAAAAACAGATATGGGCAAGTCTTACATTTGACCCTGTAACTTTCTAAAACTCTGTGAAATCTGTACATGAGGGATACTGTGGTACTTGTGGGACATTATTGGGTGCAAATAGGAGTGTTTTAGAGCAGTAAAACATATAATGCAGATTATACCATTGGTGAAAGAGCAGTTTATTTGTGAAAAATGCAAAAAAATAAAAAAATAATATGAATGCTAAATTTGGCCAGTGTTTATGACTAAGTGGCTTTTAAAAAAGATTGGACATAACTTCATTTTGTAAACCCTGTGTTGTCAGTTGTTTCCTTGTCTTGGATTTCTTTCATATTAAGTGAGAGCCCCACTTGATTAATTCTCCCCTAATCACACATTTATGGGCTTGCGTAGTGGAAGTGATATCAGGAGTTTTGTTAAGTTCAAAACAGCTGGTAATGGATGTTGCTATCACCTTATGTACCAATGGGTTTATTAATAGGTGGGGGTTCAGCTTCCACTGGTATTTAGGTATAGGTCGTGTTGGAATGGCCACCCACATGAAGATAGGGGCATGATCCAACCAAGTTATATTACCTATATGGGCACTGCGTATGAGTGCTAAATCTTTAGGTGATGTGAGAAATAAATGAATGCGTGTGGTTTGGGTTAGAGTAGAACGTGTAATCTTTCGTATTGGGGTTATGGACCCTCCAGCAGTCAATGAGCTGATTTTCATGTATCAGTATTTTATCAGTATTTTATGCATCTGTTTCCTAGCGGGGGCTAGATAAGCTGGATTTTTTGCAGTGCCCACTGTCCCACAGGGCATCCAAGGATATGTTGAAACCCCCCCTATTATGAGAATACCCTCTGTATGGCGATGGACCATCACCAATATACGTCTGAGTGAGGCGCATTGGTATTTGTTCGGTAGGTATATGTTGACCAGAGTAATTGGGGACCTCCCCACTAGTCCCTTTAAAATGATATATCATCCTGAGGCGTCAGCTATCTGTTGGGTACAGGTAAAGGAGACTTGTGCATGAACCAGGATAGCCACCCCTCTCGATTTATTGATAGTGTAGTTGTTGTACTAACATAGTGGTAATTGTCTGTGTCTAAATCTAGCTGCCTCTGTTCCCTGGAAATGAGTTTCCTGTACGAACACTATGTCCACTTTCATTTTGTGAAATTCTCTTATGGCCTCTCTCTTCTTGAGACCCTTAAAATTGTATGAGACTATCTGCAATTGTTTGCCCATTGTTTGTCTGATCAGACGCTTGTCTTCCAGGGGCCCCAACTGCATACAATAGTCACTCCCAATGACATGAAATAAGGTCAAGATAAGGAAAAAAGTAATATACTAAATCAAAAAAACTTATACAACTGTGGTAAAATATTGCTAACTGTAGCAATACTTGGAGACGCGATTGAGCCTATAAAGGAGACAATGCGCTTCCCGTGTGTCTCCCAGTCAAGAGGCTGGGAGGAACGGGTTAATCTTAGTATGGATACAAGATATTAGGATTGGAACATCGCTCTTGCCTAACCAAGTTGGGTGGGGGGTGTAATCATTATGAAGACACTCCGGTCTGAATCGGATGAGAATTTACAGCGCAGGGGAAAGTCTAGTGTGGGTAGCACCACCTATTTCACTATAAAGTGCAGGTCTGAAAAAAATAGGCATGTGTCGGTGCTCCTGACGCTGGATCTGTATGGTCAAATTTGGAATGCAACCTGGCTACTTTGTGTAAGAAGGAGCCTGGTGGGACTTCGAGTTTTGTGTATCTCATGGTTTTTGTCATCTGGGTCACCCCTACAGCATGGAATAAATCTTTCCCTCATTTCAACAGGTCCTTGGGAGATCAGCATTTCAAACAACACATTTAAAAAACATTTACAGTATACAATCCCAAAGAGTGCGGGACAACAGCCCAAGTACCACATCCCCCTACCAGATACCCATATAGACGGCATTTATGAATATTACCCTAGGGTTCTATGAGTGTAAGGTGTGAGGGCGGGGAATGAAGGTGGGTTGGGGGGGAGAGGTACATAAGGGTGTGAGGGGGTGCCCTCAGGTCGGGCAGTGATCTTTTCCATATCCCTGTGTGTGGGTGGAGATGCGCATAACCCAATATAAACCTTATAGCATTACTTCATATTACATGGGCTAGCCTATGAATAGATAAATGATAGGATTATCTGAGAGTGCGGCCAATACTACTGTGATCCCCCAGGTATGTGAGAAGGGAGGGGGAGTGGGATATAGGAGAGAGAGGGCAAGAGGAGGAGGGAGGGGTGGGGGGGAGCATGGTGATAGGAGGTGAAGCATCTAGATAGGCATGCGATAGGAGGTGGATCTCTTTGTACCCATTGGGGACCTTTTTCTGTTGCCTCTGGGGTAGAGCTTGTATCACTAATTGTGGTGTCTCCAGGTACCAGTCCTGTATGTCTATCTGGGGTAGCCCAAGTTGTTTGAGAAACTCTGGTGCATCTGCTGAGGACTTAATGCTGTGTGTTGTGTCTTCTCGGGTAATTGAGAGCAAAAATGGTCAGCCCCAGCGATATTTGCTGTTCCGTTATTTGCAGGAGCACAGTAATGGGCGCAGTGCCCTCTGACCTTGAAAGGTGGGCTAGGCGAGGTCTGGGAATAGTTGGAGGTGTAGGTTGTTCTGACGCATGGCTGAGGAATCTTTAGATAGTCGAAGTATGTCCTCCTTTAGTGTTTAATAATGGACTCTATAAATTACATATCTTGGTGTGTCTTGTGAGAGTGCTTTGGGTCTCAATGCTTTATGAGCGCTGTCCAGCAGGACCAGGGTGTCTGGAGGACTAATGAAGGATGTTGTTAAATAATGCTTGTAGTGTGTCCTGGAGATTCTCTGAGGCTTCATGGGCCTCTGGTAGGCCTCTCAGGCATAAGCTGTTCCGCCTGCTTCTATTTTTGAGCTCTTCTAAGTTCCTTGCCAAAGTAAGGAATTTGTGTTCAATAACTTCTTGTCTTGTTTCCAGAGCTTTTATTGCTGCAATTGTGCGTAGATTTTCATATTCCAGCTCCCTCACTCTTTGTCCTACATGGCGCATGTCTTTTGTGACACTGGAGATTTGTTCTTGCATAGACTCCTTCAAACGTGCCAACATAGATGCCTCTGACTTTAAGGGCAGATTATGTAGTATCTCCTTTAGTTCCATGTCTGTGGATATGATCGAGTGATCAGAGAGCGCAGGACTGTGAGGAGGTGAGTCCGAGATCTGGGAGGCCGCCGCCATGTTGCTGTCTTCATTCTGGGCAAACGCTCTCACCTTATCATGGAAATATCAATCTAAATCTCCAGATTTTTTGCTGGAGCTTGGTTCCAGATGGTCCTGAGAGGCTGTGGGTTTCTTTTTGTTCCCCATAGGAGTGTTATATTAGGAAAAATCAGGTCTTTTGCTATCAAAGCGTCGGGAGCCCACTAGATGTGCGGCCATTCACATGGATTATCAGGACACGCACCCCAAATCTGGCAAATGTTAATGTGTATAAACTGAAAAGGGAAGGTCATCCGTGTCTTTAGAGCTCACAAACGCCCAAAACATCAGTGAGACACCACCGTGCTTCACAGTGGGGATGGTATTCTTTTCACTATAGGACTTGTTGACTCCTCTCCAAACATAGCGCTTATGGTTGGGACCATAAATCTCTATTTTGGTCTCGTCACTCCAAATTACAGTGTGCTAGAAGCTGTGAGGCGTGTCAAGGTGTTGTCGAGCATATTGTCACCAAGCTTTTTTGTGGCATTGCCACAGTAAAGGCTTCTTTCTGGCAACTTGACCATGCAGCTCATTGTTGTTCAAGTTCTGTCGTATTGTGCTCCTTGAAACAACCACACTGTCTTTTTTTCCAGAGAATCCTGTATTTCTCCTGAGGTTATCTGTGGGATTTTCTTTGTATCCCGAACAATTCTTCTGACAATTGTGGCTGAAATCTTCCTTGGTCTACCTGAAACCTGGTATCAAGAGATCCCCAAATTTTCCACTTCTTAATAAGTGATTTAACAGTGCTGAATGGCATTTTCAAGGTTTGGATATCTTTTTATGTTCTTTTCCATCTTTATAAAGTCCCATTACCTTGTTACGCAGGTCTTTTGACCGTTCTTTTCTGCTCCCAATGGTTCAGTATCTAGCCTGCTCAGTACATCCACTTGAGAGCTAACAAACTCATTGACTATTTATACACAGACACTAATTGCAGTTGTGGCATGACACGACCCTAAATGGAAGCTAGGTCGCGCCACATTTTGCAATGAAAGCAAGGCTTGGAACACAACGTGCCCATGGAGGAAAGGGTGCTATAAATGAGCAATGTGACCTGTGACAGAAGTAAGGTCGCACTGCGCTCCATAGTGAAAGTGAGGCTTGATACACAACGTGCATACGAAAGGAAGGACACCAATAACGAGCCAGAGCTGCAAGCAATACATGTCAATTAAACATGTATTTAAACAGAAACAGGAACTAATTGAGTCTCATGCAATAGACTGAGGAACCTGGAATTAAGGCGCAATGCGTTTCTATGACAATTCTATACATATTGGTATTTTATATATATTACTATTTTTTGTTTTTATTAATGTAATACACTATATTACATTATATTACATGTAATACACTGTAATACAAAATAAATACACTTTTTAAACATCTAAATTCTGCATTTCTAAAAAAGGGAGGGTAGTCTACTTAACTACACAAGGTTTCGTATTGAGCCAGGTTACAGGCCCCATACTTGTAAGTACAAGAAGAACCATATGCATACTGTGATTCTACAAGGTGGAACTTCATTATTATTATCCATCTCTTGTACCCTGAGATTTCCTGGAATATTGATGTACTGAATAGGGGAGTGGGTGACCAAAATGGACCAAATTGTACTACATACCAGAGCTAGGTTCTGTAGCTCTGGATGATCTGAGTGTTCCGTTGACATTATAGCTTTACTCACTTATTTGAAAGGTTTTATGCTATGGGTTCTTTTATTCTTGTCTTATAATGCCTCATGCAAACGAATATCAGTTACGTTTTTTATGTATATACTATAAAAAAACACATATACTATTAAGAGCTCCACAATTTTGGGGGGATTTCATAAAGTTGTTTTGATGTCTATAATGTACCTTAAAGTTGCATAGACATTAACCTCTTCAGGACGGAGTCAATAGTACACGTTCTGGTCAAAACAAAACGTAAACAAAAACTGGAATTTGCGCTATATGTCTGTTCAACCGTAATTCACTGCTGTCACATTAAGTGCACCCACACTTATCATAAATCATTTTGTTCAGGAGAAATAGGACTTTAATTTATCATTAACTATTCATATATGAACCATAATTTATTGTGAATAAAATTTAAAAAAATGTGAGAAAATTAGATTTTTTTTTTTAATTTTTATTTCCGTCTGATATTTTAGCTGTTAATGTCATAATACTGTTAGGTTTTACTGCAAAAAAAAATGCACATATTTGTAATCACCGATATCTCACGAGTACAACAGTACCCCCCCCATTAACAGGTTTTATGGTGTTTTGGAAAGTTACAGGATCAAATATAGCACATTACATTTTCAAACTGAAATTTCCCAGATTAGTAATGTTACCTTTGAGATGGTGTGGTAGCCCAGGAATGAGAATTACCCCTGTGGCAAACCCTGCCACTTGGACTAACTATTCTGTGCGAATAAACAGTTGAATTATTACAAGCGAATGGGTGCTAAAGCAGTGACTAAATGCACGAACGGACTATAATGTTATTCTTGCTGCTCTGTATGCGAATGCCCCGAAACTACCGAACGGGAGACCACCCCGGGGTGGTCGTGTGTTTCCCATTAACAGAAAGATACAATGTTGCAAAGGGAATTAAGTGCCTGTGTGTGTGGCCGCCATTTCGCCTACCGAACACGTGGCGGTGGCCATCTTACGCACGAACAGCAGTACTTGGTCGTCGAACGCCTGGCACTCAAACCGGCATTCGACTAACCAAGTACCGCCAAGGACCTCCAGCATACTCAGAAAGCACAAACCAAACACACGAACGCCCTGGCGTTCGGTAGGTGGAATCCCACGAACGAGGGGATTCATACGAATGGTAACAGATGCCTGGATGCCTAGCCGTTCGGGACTTTTGTGTTCACTAGAAAAGACCGACCGCAGTGCCAGAATTCATGGAACTGTTTTCGTCTACTGAGCCCCTGCGGTCGGTCAAATCTTTCCATGCCTGTAACTCCCGAACCCCTGGTCCGATCTGGGTGAATTTTGAGTATGTTGCTCACCCAGATCAGACCTACCAGGGGACCCCTTATTTAACCCGGTACCCACTGTATTTAGGGGACATCCATAAAGTGGGGAAAACTCTGTCCCCATTAATCTGTTTAACTGTTAATCTAAGGGGAGGAGAGGGATGGGAGGTGACCATGATATGATTGGTTACTGTAAGTTACCTCCCTTGCATGGGAGAAATGCATAAAAGCAGACCTGTGAATAAAGCTGACAGCTGACTCCCAGACTATGTGTCGTCTAGTCCTTGGGGAGGTGGATTATGCTGTGTTCCTGTGATTCTGTATGCTGAATCTTTGTTCCCAGCGGAGAGCTATTGGATTAACCCCTGCTACTCTGCTACAACCCTCATAATGGCATACCATTTGAAAAAGTAGACAACCCAAGGTATTGAAAGTGGGGTATGTTTAGTCTTTTTTAGTAGCCACTTAGTCACAAACACTGGCCAAAGTTAACGTTCATATTTGTTTTTGTGTGAAAAAAGCAAAAAATTTATATTTGGCCAGTGTTTGTGACTAAGTGGCTACTAAGAAAGACTGGACATACCCCACTTGCAATACCTTGGGTTGTCTACTTTTGCAAATGGTATGCCATCATGGGGGTAATTCTAATTCCTGGGCTACCATACGCTCTCAAAGGCAACATAACCAATCTGGCAAATTTCAATGTCAAAAACATGAAATGCAAGCCTGATATGTGACTCTCTAACTTTACAAAACACCATAAAATCTGTACATGGGGGGTACTGTTATTCTCGGGAAACTTCACTAAACACAAATATTAGTGTTTTAAAACAGTAAAACATATTACAACAATAATATAGTCCATAAAAGTACAGTTGGTTTGTAAAAAATGCAAATAAGTCACTTTTACTTAAAATATCATTGTTGTAATACAATTTATCATTTTTAAACACTAATATTTGAGTTCAGCGAAGTCTCCCGAGTAAAACAGTACCCCATATGTACAGTTTTTATGGTGTCTTGGAGAGTTGAAGGGTCAAATATAGTGCTTGCGAATTAAATTCTCTGCACTTTCTCCTTGTGTTGTCAGGCATGTCAATCAAATTTTAATTAATCAAATCACATAATTATGTGAAAAGATTACTTAAATATACACGTAGAATTTTAATATATATGCATTTATAGGTATTTAAATTCTACGTGTATACTAATTTAATCTTTTATGTAATTATATGTATTTATCTATCTATCTATCTATCTATATATTTGTGGTTATTTGTATTTTATATATAGATAGATATATATAGACTGTCATTCTAAGTGTATTTTGTTACATATATATATATATATATATATATATTAATAACAAAATACACTTAAAATGAAATTACAAATGAATATATAATTTATATTAAATTTTGTTTCATAGTTACATAGTTACATAGTTACATAGCTGAAAAGAGACTTGCGTCCATCAAGTTCAGCCTACCTCACATTTGTTTTTTGCTGTTGATCCAAAAGAAGCCAAAAAAACCCAGTTTGAAGCATACTTTTTCTAGGAAAAAAAATCCTTCTTGACCCCAGAATGGCAGTCATATTTATCCTTGGATCAAGCAGTTATTACCCTACATTGAAAGATTATATCTTTGAATATTCTGTTCTTGCAAGTATGCATCTAGTAGCCGTTTGAACATCTGTATGGACTCTGATAAAACCACTTCTTCAGGCAGAGAATTCCACATCCTGATTGTTCTTACAGTAAAAAACCTTTCCTTTGCCTTAGACGAAATCTTCTTTCTTCCAGTCTAAACGCATGGCCTCGTGTCCTATGTAAAGTCCGGTTTGTGAATAGATTTCCACACAATGGTTTGTATTGGCCCCGAATATATTTGTATAATGTTATCATATCCCCTCTCAGGCGACGTTTTTCTAAACTAAATAGGTTTAAATTTGTTAACCTTTCTTCATAGCCGATATGTTCCATTCCTTTCAT